TCCACTATGTTTGTTTTTAATGCACAATTTCCTAAATGTATAAAGATATATGTTTAAAAGATTTTAACAAATATATAACATATGCATAACAATACAATGCAATTTTCCCTTAGCGTTATTTATTTCTTAATTTATAACGTATACATTTATAGATTCAGTTCATAATTTTTATTATTTTATTTTTTTCTAATTTCGTTTCTTTTATTTATTGCATTGCATTAAATTTGTTACGCTTTTATTTGAATTTTCACAACGTAAAAGAAGAGTTTCAAGTTTTATTATTAAAAATTAGGTATGAATAATTTATTGAATGTTATCTCCAAACACTGGGACAGCTAAATAACTCGGCCAAATGAACGCTTTTAGAATATTTAGATATTAATAAAAGCGCCGCTTTTTAAGCTGTAATAGGAGCAGTTGTAGAGCGACTCTGTTGTGAAATCACTTTTGTTGGCTGGCACTCCCCGAGTGCCGGTATCGGGCAGGGCTTCCGATACCTCTGAAATCTACGCAGGGTCGAGACGACCAGAGAGTGGCGGTTGCCGGCTATCACGCCCCAGTATTCGCCTGTTCAGGAACGCCGCTATTCCGGAGACTCCTTGGGCTCTAAGGGTTTCCCCGCCAATAATCCCGACTCCCCTGGAGTCGGGTTGGAGTACGGCGCTTAGTCCCCTGGACGCGCCGGTACTCCCCGATCTGGGTGTTTCCCGCAGCCACCTCCGTTGAGAGTCCTTTGCGGAGGGAGGCGCCGGTCACTGCCAAATTGGTCCTACTCCGGTGGTACTGCTGTTTGCCGACTCTCCAGTCGACCGGTCGCCTCACGAGGACGGCTCCTCCACTGTTGTGTGACGGCGTGGTCATCTCCTAGGGCAGGAGACCCTTATGTCAAATATCCACCACCAGTTCCTGGCCGGGGTGGGGAAAACGGTTCCGGAGTCGGGTGTCGCCTCACGCTCGCCACGGCCCTGTAATTGCGCGCAGTTGCTCGGCGCGGTAAAAGACGCGGTTAGTCGCTATTCAAATGTTCGCAAGTTCTTGGGGTTCCTTTAGGAGCGCTCGTGTACATGCGAGTGCGTGTATGATCGACGTTTCGCGGGGCAGAGAGCAGTCCGGTTCCATACGGACTACGCTCCATGCTCGAATTTGGAACGGTCGTTACACTGTCAAAAAGCAGCGTAACAATATATATATATATATATATACACACACACACACACACACACACACACACACACACGCGCGCGCGCGCGCGCGCGCACGCACGCACGCACGCACGCACGCACGCACGCACGCACGCACACACACAGTGTATTCCCATTCATATATAATGTATTCCCCTTCACCAGACTACGGCCGACGCAGGCCGACGAGCAATAAACCTCGTCGCCAGACGAGGATTGTGTTGCGACGAATATCATTTCGTACCGATGTACGTGTACAGAAATACAATACTTATTTACTAACCAGATTAGTAAGGGTATGCATTAACTGGGAAATGTATACATTTACTGAATTAACGTTTTTACTGGGACATGTACATATAGAACTTCTATTGCAGCTTCAAATAAACAAATCCACAACAGAGTGAATGCAATTAGTGACGGTAGAAACTTTACGCGAAACAGATACAAAAAACTGAAAACTTAATATTTTACACTATAATTTTTTGTATTTTATGTACATATCTGTTATTCTCATATTCATAGATGTAAAGGTGTAAATAGAACCATCTCTTGCGTAAATCTGTTGTGTCTCTTTGTCGTACAGTTTCTACTGTCGCCATCTTACACCTTCGTCGGTGAACTGAGATTTTTCTAATTAAAATGATACCAAACACGACATAATTCGGATCACATTTACTCACGGAGAAAGTGTTAACCCTCCGAGTACTGGACGCGGCGGCCTGCGCCGATTAATTTCTGACTCACATCGATTGGCTACTAACGCAGAGTCACGGTGGCTCGACTTCAGGCCTTCACCGATATTGTACTAACGCAGTATCGATCGTTTGAGTTCGAGCGACTTTCACCGATATTGTACTACCACAGGTGCGTGTCGCCATCACTGGATTCTGTTTTCCTACATGAGTAAATATGATCGAAATTATGTCGTGTTTGGTATCACTATCATCAGAAAAATCTCACCAGTACGTTAGTAACAGCTTCATTCAGAAAGAAGCAATGGTAAAAATGTATCATCGTTGCATTCTGTCACCTATACTTAGAACAACATTTATACCTTCGTCGGGGACACGACGTTGACTGGACGGTGTCTCGATGGCGACTCGACGGCGTGGCTCGAGTCGACCCTCAATCCAGTGATGCCAGAATCATGGTACTGCTTACCCCCACCACTCTCCCACTCCGACGTACCATCGTCTCCCAGTATGACGTCCCGGCTACCCCCACTTTATGTCCACCGTGCTGACACACACAAGCATAGCCTAGCCCTGTCCGTGTGCGCTGGCCGTTCGAGAGACGGTGAGCTATATTTAGAAAAGAGTGGGGGTAAACCGTACACGATTCTGACATCACTGCTGCCTTGGAAATCCTGTTCGAATACCACTGCGGCGAAAATTCATGTTCTCGACGCGATGCCCCGCAACCTAAGCGCGTTAGCAGTCAAGAGACCCTGTTGAAATCCCAATGCGGCGGTTTTACTTTTTATTTTTAATTATTTTATAATTTCACTTTGTAATCTCTAAGTAAAATAAAAAAGTTAAAAAATATTAATACGGGAAGCATTTAAAAAGAAGAAAATAAATGTTTTCCACTTCAATATCTAAATTTTTTATTATATACATACATATTATGTTGTATACACATAAATTATTTTTACAATTAGATGTTATCCGCTAAAAACCGCTGAAGCTGGTCCACGTACATGCCGAATGGTCTTTTGATTTTCTCCATATGAAAAGAAAAAAACACAATTGAAATAGTAATTTTAATAACATAAGATAAAATATTAAGATTGCTATGAACTTATCTTTTTTTTGTTGAATTATTCTGTAATTTCGCTTCCTCGCTTTTGAGTAGAAGTTTCGCAGCTAACGAAAGTAACGAAGTACGATAGTCTTTTAAAACTATTTAAAATGTGCCTCATTGTAATATTTTGGAAATTCCTTTATTGCCGGAAATTTTCTTTATTGAACGAAATTTCGACGGCTAACGGTAATGAATTTCTAAAAGCTATTTCAACGGTAAGGGACTTTTAATTAGGTCCATCGTAGACGTCGTCGAATACGTTATTGTTTCATTATGTCAAAAGAGTCTTTTGACAAGAGGTAGTTAGGAATTTCAGGGGATTCGAAAGAAGTGCTTAGGCGCTCGAAAAAACAATATACTGCTAATAGTGATCCGCTATAGACTTCACAAACGACCTGTTAAATCCATATTACTTTAAATGACACCACTGAGACGAGTACGAGAGCTATCGATAATCTTTTTAGACCTCATTTCAAGTAATAAAGGGTGCAATTGGTACGATCGGCCGATCGTAAACGCCGCGCGAGCGGCTCGCTTACCTGGCACTGGGCGTACGGCTACCTTTAACAGGTCCTCTGTGAAGTCTATAGCGGATCACTATTATCAGTATATTGTTTTTTCGAGCGCCTAAGCACTTCTTTCGAATCCCCTGAAATTTTATCTTATGTTATTAAAATTACTATTTCAATTGTGTTTTTTTCTTTTCATATGTAGAAAAGCGAAAGACCATGCGGCATCGTATATACGTGGACCAGCTGCAGCGGTTTTCGTTAGCGGCGAAATGTATCATTAAAAAAAAAAAATGAATTTTAAAAATGCTTCCCGAATTAATATTTTTTAACTTTTCATTCAAACTTAACTTAGAGGTGGCAAGTAAAGCCAACAAAATTTAAAAGACTGAAGATACACTTATGACGTAATATTTTAATCTATTAGATTTTTGTACGAATGTTCAGATTAGTAATGTGTAGGGTTGTAAGGATAACATCTAATTGTAAAAGTAATTTATGTGTGTACAACATAATATGTATGTATATAATATAAAATTTAGATATTGAAGTGGAAAACATTTATTTTCTTCTTTTTAAATGCTTCCCGAATTAATATTTTTTAACTTTTTTATTTTACTTAGAGGTTACAAAGTGAAATGATAAAATAATTAAAAATAAAAAGTAAAACCGCCGCATTGGGATCCGCATAGGGTCTCTAGACTGCTGCTCGCGCGTTAGGCTGCGGGGCATCGCGTCGAGAACGTGAATTTTCGCCGCAGTGAGAATTGTGATTCGACGAGGATCTCCGAGGTCCTCTCCTTGTTTACGTTCCCGACTGACGTACCGAATGTCGGCGGAAAGACCCGAACGGCCAGCGCACACGGACAAGGCTGGGATATGCTTGGTGTGCCAGCACGGTGGACGTAAAGTGGGGGTAGCCGGGACGTCATAGTGGGAGACGATGGTACGTCGGAGTGGGAGAGTTGTGGGGGTAAGCAGTACCATGATTCTGGCGTCACTGGCTCAATCTCCATCTCTGATTCACTCACTGTCCTTTTCTGTTCCGGCAACATACCAAGGCCGTGGTCACACTGGCACCGTATTGGTCATCAGACTGTTTTTGTCAGACGTCGGCCGATCTGATTGGTTACTGCGCGTCCACGCACTGCTTCCCGATCTAATGCCCAGACTATGCTATACCATGGTTAAAACTGTAAGCGGTTTGTTCGATGAAAGGGCAATTTAAAAAAAGAATATCTACATTCACCTGTGCAAAAAAGAATGGTACAAAGTAGAAAATACGTTGCTCATTAGTTTTTTAAAAAGTAAAACTTCAGCAGTTACTTTAAAGGCGTTCGTTTCTTCTTCAAGAGAAGCCTGATGAACGATTTGCCTGAAGAACGATAATGTACGGTTTGGTCGCAACAAGTTCACTCGTAGTGTAGCAGGCGATTTGTTGATATTGCAATTCGTAGAAATTGCCGGGAACCGGAGACAAGTTATTGTAGCTTTACGAAATCAGTTTCAGGCTGTCGTTCAAGCGAAAGGAGCACACGAGCAGACGCGAGCATCGGGAGTCCTTAAGCGGCGCGTTGCCAGCGAAGTTCATACGGGCGACAACGGTGAAGCCACACACGCTCAGCCCGCGATGGAACGAGAAGTTTCGTTTGTAAGCAGCACCAAACCGTTCCCAAGGAGGCTTGTCTCTCCCCTCTAATTGATCCGTCAAACGGAAACGCGCTACGTACAAATCGTATCGGTCCAGCCGATAAGAGCCTTTAAGTCCGTTTAAACGTTCAAATAATTTGCGCAAACCGAATTGTAGGTACATACATGTTTGTGCAAACAAGTCGTTACACCTGAACGGAAACTGCCATGTTCAAATAGTTAGCGTGACCTGATTTGTGCATTCACGTTTGTACAACCAAATCGTTGTGTTTAAATTGAAGCTAACCCACCTGTCAAATAATTAGGGGAGATCGGGGTGAGATGGTGTTACTAAGAAAAAATAAGGGTAACTTTGTTATTTCTTATAGAAAAGAATAATATTTTACCATAACAATCTTATGTTTTAGGGACGAAAATATATATGTAAAGAAAAATAATTCTACAGTTATATTTGGTATAAAATAAAAAACTAATTTGTAAGCAAATTCGTCATCTTACCCGACTATTGGGTAAGATGGTTAAATTAATATTATTATATAATTTTTTGTATTATTATTTATAAACCACATGTGTGAAGTCATGAATTCGGTTGAACTTTCTGTTGCATGAATATTCTATTACAGTAGAAAGAAAATATAACATCTGTCTAAAAAATGTGTCGACTCCTGGAAATGAGAGATTTCTGGGATGATTAGAAACAACTTTTGCCATAGCGAAAATGTTATCCGAGTCTTTGTTAACGAGATATTAACGAAAAACCGCTACCAACCAGGGCGCGAGTTTGCCAGTCGAGTTTCCGCGCTAGCGGAGCGTACGCGCTGCGCTTGTACTATGGAGCTCCGAACAAGCAAGTCGGCATGCATGCCAGTAAACTGCGTGTAATAGCAAATAAAAAAGACGTAACAAATAAAATGATACTTTTTATCATCTTTCGTTTGTTAGTTAAATGAATGTAGCATAAATATAAAAAAATTATGTGTAACATAAATTAACTACGCACCACGCTTGTACTACGAAGCTCGGAACAAGCAAATCGGCATGCATCGCAAGAAACTACGTATAGGTAATAGCAAATAAAAAAGACGTAACAAATAAAATCATACTTTTTATCATTTGTCGTTCGTTATTTAAAGAGATTAGTGCATGAAGCATTAATGTAGGAAAATTATGTGTACCGTAAAAAGACAAATGCACATTTACTTTTTTAAACAGAATGGAAACTAATAATTATTTGAAGAGAGTGGCCCAGGAATTTGTGAATTACCTTTTCAAATAACGTATTAACGAAAAGGTAATGTAACAGAAAATGAATGAGAAGTGATCGTAGTTCGTTATTGAGATAAAAATCCGTAGTTTAATATCGGGCAGCAATGTTACTGTTAATGAATAAGTCTCAAGCCCGAAGAAAAATTGAAGTACACAAACTCTCAGAAGTATCACCGGTAATAAAACATAGCTTGAGTTAAGGTAAAGAAATAATAATCAGCAATAAATTGATTAGAACTTACTCTTTTGGAAATTCACCTGCAGTTTGCAAACCTGTGTCACTACGTCACTGGACCGATCTTTGTCATTGACGGCCGAAACGGTTTATGGCAGGGTATCGCCCAGTCCGCAGGTGATCGCAGGTATACCTCACCAGCCGAAGTTAAGGGTCGCAACGTCAAGTGCCTCCGGATTATTCTACCGAATATATATTCACTTCACTGCACGACCACCAACACTGATCGCCGGACACGATCACTTAAATTATTTTTCATCGAACCTGTTGTTACTATGTTACGAATATTGGTGGCCCCGAAACGGGCCGATAGTTTTCAATTTATCAGATGTTTCACGTAGCCAAACACTTGCACAGCAACAGGCGCATATCCGTTATTCTGTGCGTAACACCAAAGCATTACGTAATACTCCCGTGAACTAAACATCTCTGTCCCCCGATTGCTAACCGACTGATAGAAATTTTCCGAAAGGGCTCCCTCTACCACCAAGTAGTTTCCCATCGTTACATTGTGAGTTCATCCCTACCGCGGCAACAAGATTTAGGTAAAAAGAAACCAGCGTACTAGGAAAACACGTGCTTTGCAGAAGCGCAACGAACGAACCGTCGTGCAGTTTCACCGAAGTGCAGGCTTCGTTAATTGCTTCGAGATAGAAAACATACGTCATGTGTATCGGCTTGAAAGGGTCCAAAGAGAAGAGACCACGAACGTACCCATTGCTTCGGGATAGAACGCAGAAACTGTTTTTCTCGAGGCGCAGGAAACAAATTTCACGGACACATGTTGAGTTGACGCTGCTTGGCCCTGTCCGAGCACCTTAGCAGAAGCCGCAGCGAACGTCTCGCTACAGGGCGCAGGGAACTTTTATACCTGCAGACTGAATTTCAACCATTTGAGGAATCAATCAGCGTCGCACAACGTAACACAAATATCTGGAAATCGTAAAATTGCACTATCTGTTTAATTATACGCAGTGAAGTACTAAAGATAAGTCATCATTTTTCCAGTTTCGAATTGGTTAAAAAATATAGGCCATATTCGTGAAAATGGATTGTGTTTATGAATTTATATCTCGGAAATTATCTGTCATATTTGGTTGATTCCTGCTTTTGTTTTAATCCAGAAGGATCAACCTTCCTGAATAAACAATTCAATTCAAAACAGCAACTCTGAAAATTATAAACAAATTCTTATTGTGCACATTTTACATCGAGGTTGCGATTTTTTAAATCCGAAATAAATACTACCATATTCCTTGAAGTGTTTTCCATAAAATAAGCCTATCGTTGGGGTGATGCTGTTCATATTAACGTCGCAATAAGCTATTAAAGACAGCGGTGCTCCCCGGTTCAGGTAAAAAAACTGGGCGCTCCGCCATTACAGTCGACTACCGTACCGCTACCACTCCAGATTATTTCAGTGAAGTGAAAAACAATATCGATAGAAAACCATAAAAGTAAATCATCATAAAAGAATATATAAATATGAAAAACAAAAAGTATAAATATTTGAGTATTCAATTATTAAGTATATTCTATGTTGTACTTATATTATTATTATTTTATATTTGTGTAAATTATAAATTATCAATGACACTTTGATATTGTTTTCAACCTCATTGAAATAATCTGGAGTGGTAGCGATACAGTAATTGACCGTAATAACGGAGCGCATGGTTCGTTTACCATCTAGGGCTACTTCCACTCCTTCAACGTGGACGAAAGTAACTAATAAGAAATACGTATCAAATATAGTATGAGAATCACAGTCTCACATAGTTGTGTAAAAATTGGCTATTGTTAATTCGGGATGTTCCCTTGTGAGTCCACGTCTGCTACGAGGCCGAAGCAATTAGGCCGTAAATAACCGAATGTCCGCTCCGGTTTCTGCTAAGATGCTCAGACAGGGCCAAGCTGCGCCAATTCAACATGTGCCCGTGAACATTTTTTTCCCTGTTCCTCGATGAAGACACCGTAGTTTCTGCTTTCTATCTCCAAGCAATAGTACGGTGCGTGAGTGGTCCTCTTCTCTTCGGACCCTTTCAAAACACGTGATTTAACGTCACAATAGGTATCCTGGCAGTAAATTAACGGAGCCCGCGCTTCGGTGAAAATTCACGATGGGTTCGTTCGTTCCACTTCTGCAAAGCACGTGTTTTCCTAAGGCGCAGGTTTCTTTTTACCTAAATCTTGTTGCCGCGGTGGGGATGAACTCACAATGTAACGATGGGAAACTACTTGGTGATAGAGGGAGCCCATTCGGAAAATTTCTATCAGTCGGTTAGCAATCGGGGGACTGAGATGTTTAGTTCACGGGAGTATTACGCAATGCTTTGCTGTTACGCACAGAATAACGGATATGCGTCTGTTGCTGTGCAAGTGTTTGGCTACGTGAAATATCTGATAAATTGAAAACAATCGGCCCGTTTCGGGGACACCAATATTCGTAACGTAGCAACAACAGGTTTGATGAAAAATAATTTAAGTGATCGTGTCCGGCGATCAGTGTTGGTGGTCGTGCAGTGAAGTGAATACATATTCGGTGGAATAATCCGGAGGTACTTGACGTTGCAACCCTTAACTTCGGCTGGTGAGATATACCTACGATCACCTGCGGACAGGGCGATACCCTGCCATAAACCGTTTCGGCCGTCGATGACAAAGATCGGTCCAGTGACCTGGTGACAGGTTTGCAAACTGCAGGTGAATTTCCAAAAGAGTAAGTTCAAATCAATTTATTGCTGATTATAATTTTTTTAATTTAACGCAAGCTAAGACTTATTTCCGGCGATAATTCTGTAAGTTTCTCTACCCAAATTTTTCTTTGTACTTTTTGAAGAAACATATTCATTACTAGTAACATGGTTGCCCGTTATTAAACTACTTAATTTTTATGCCAATGTTACATCCCACGTTGTGGTCGGTACTTTATTTATAATTTCGGGTCCTGACTATTTTAAGGTGCTAAAGCACGCCCTGTCTAAACTTACCGGTGAAGTACGCAATTAGGAATAGAGAACGGGGGGGATAGGCAATGACTCTCGTTTATGATAACAACAAAGACAATATTAACAGTCAAATAAATAAAAGATACAAATAATTATTAACATACCAATAATGATGAAGATGAGTGATCGTTTCGTGTCGCTTTCAGTCGGCCCCGTCGGAATTTCGGGTCCTTGAAAGGGTAGAAGACTTGCTGGTGCTCGGAGCCGTGATACAGGGTTTGGGCACTGCGGGACACGTTGTCACCGTCTCGGACGTTTCACTTCGCGGTCTGGTGTCTTATAAAACTCGCCTGTTGGGCCGCGCGTAATCGCGAAGTCGCGTCGCACAAGGAAGAGATATCGTCGCGGAAACTCGAAACTGAATAGCTGAGTGACCGTTATCACTCAGCTCGCTGTTGCGTGTAAAGTGGAAGTGAAGCGCGACTGTCGAAGAGCGAACGAACTTGTCGAGGCAGAAGCGACACACGAGCCAAAAAACTAAGAGAGCTTCCCCGGTTTGGACAATCGTTTTATAAGTTCTTCCCCCCTTCCTTTATTGAAGAATGCGGAAGATACGGGGTAGCAACAAGCTATTGTTCGTAAGAGAATTCTCGAGTCGTCGTGGCGGTCTTTGGAAATTGCTGATGTTTCCGTTCCGCCGGTCAACGTCTCGAGGAAGGTCGACTACGCGCATAGCTTTGACGTGACGCTGAATTGACGGTTTTCGTTCGCTCTTTGCGTGTAAAGGTGGTCGGAAAAAATATGCAAGGGAAAGAGGAAATGAAGCTACAGGATATAACACCGTCGTTGTCGAGAAGAAGAGTAATGAGGAGGCGCTGAAGTTCAGCGTAAAATTCCTTAGCCTCTCTTTTTTAATAAATATTTGTTTCCATTCTGTTTAAAAAAGTAAATGTGCATTCGTCTTTTTACGTTACACACAATTTTCCTACATTAATGCTTCATTCATTAATCTCTATAAATAACAAACGATAAATGATAAAAAGTATGATTTCATTTATTACGTCTTTTTTAATTGCTACTACCTATACGTAGTTTCTTGCGATGCATACAGACTTGCTAGTTACGAGCTTTGTAGTACAAACGTGGCGCGTAGTCAACGCTACTGCGGGAGCTTCGCCGGCAGACTCACAAGCTGATTTCATTTTTGCTAAGGAAATAGTTGTTCCAATTCACCCCCCGAGTGTCCCATTTCTGGGTCGAGCAACATTTTTGTTACAATCTATCTGTATAAACAAGGTGTTCGACAACTAATGGGAAAAAACTTATGGGGTGATTCTTTGAGACAAAATAAGACAAAAATCAAGAATAACGAAATTGCGAAAAATGCTTCGTTTGTTAGTTATAACCGTTTAAAAATTGACCCAAATCATGGCAACCCGCGCGCACGGAGTGTCAGCGGATCACGGCTCATCAGGGGCGTAGTCACTTTAAAGACTCAACGACGTGCAGGAAAAGTCGATAGAACAGCTGTTTACTTACCCCGTAGAAGATGTCGATAACTTGTGCCCGCGGTATTTGAGTCGAATCCACCTGTATCGCATTAACTCTGATTACTCGATAAACTTCGCAAGAAATGTAAATATCTTC